CACGCCTCCCCGGGCAGGGGCGGGGATGGCGGGGAGGGGGAGCGATGCAGGTGGCTGCTGCAGCAGCAGCAGCAGCAGCTGCAGCAGCAGCAGCAGCAGCAGCAGCAGCGGGAAGCAGCTGGTTATTGCGGAGCCGGAGATCCGGGTGCTCGCGCTGCAGCCGGAAGACGAGTTCCTGCTGCTGGCTTGCGACGGGCTCTTCGATGTCATGAGCAGCCAGGAAGCTGTTTCCTTCGTCCGGAAGCAGCTGCAGCAGCGGCAGCAGCAGCAGCAGCAACTCGGCTGCTGCAGCAGCAACACCCTCCAAGACGTCGCAGACGCCCTCATCTCCGAAGCCATTGATGTCCGACGCACCAGGGACAACGTCACCTGCCTCCTCGTCGACCTCAGACCCCCCCTGCAGCAGCAGCAGCAGCAGCAGCAGCAGCAGCTGCTGCAGCAGCAGCTGCAGCAGCAGCAGCAGCAGCAGCAGCAGCGCCTCCAGGCGCTGCTGCAGCCCCAAAAACCCCCCAGGGCCCCCGGCCCCACAGCCCCCCACAAACCCAAAGACAGCAGACACGTGGCCAACAGAGTCCTTGCAGCAGACACCAGCGCAAATCCACACTAATGCAGCAGCAGCAGCAGCAGCAGCAGCAGCAGCAGCAGCAGCAGCGAAAGTTTGAACAGCAGCCTTTGCTGAGGGCCGCAGCAGGCACTCTTTCAACTCATTTTGAATTTTGCGTTTGCTGCCGAGGCTGAGGTGTACGTACACCTCAGCGGCCTGCGGGGCTTCCGGCATATCCATCAACAGAAAACCTCCCAGACTCTGCCCCTAAACCCTAAACCCTAAACCCTAAACCCTAAACCCTAAGGTATTTGCGCTCTCCTGCCTTCGAGGTCCTTTAGTCTCGTAGAATAGCAAATCTAAGGATATATTAAAAAGGGTATTTTTATATTTAATTCTATTAATATTATTTATTATTTAGTAAGTTTTTATTTTATTTTGTTTTATTTATTTTATTTTATTTTATTTTAGTTGTTAGAGTACATTAGACTTGCTGCAGCGAGAGTCATCTAGGCATTCTGCTGCAGCAAGATCTGCACTCTGCAGCAAATGGATTTGTCTCGAAACCCTAAACCGTAAACCCCAAACCCTAAACCCTAAACCCTAAACCCCAAGCCTTTTAGCTTTTGAAAGAAATGCAACTAATTGAAAAAAAGAATTAAAAAACAAAACAGAATTTGCTGCTGCTGCGCGGGCGCTGGGGTGTACAGGCAGCTTGGGGTGTATGCGCACCTCTTTGGGGTGTACGTACACCTCGTGGCTGCGACGCCGCTTTCCGCTCCAAAGACGAAATTAATCAAAAGTATTTATTTTCATTAATCCAAACTATTTATTTTCATTAATCCAAACTATTTATTTTCATTAATCCAAACTATTTATTTTCATTAATCAAAACTATTTATTTTCATTAATCAAAACTATTTATTTTCATTAATCAAAACTACTTATTTTCATTAATCAAAAGTATTTTCATTTCCTCAAGAGAGCAGCCGCAGCTCGAGCAGCCGCGAGGGTTTAGGGTTTAGGGTTTAGGGTTTAGGGTTTAGGGTTTAGGCTGGGCTCTCATGCAACGACGCACCACAGACACCAAAGGCGGGCCTGCTGTAGTCCTGTTGCCCACAGCTAGCCACAGCTAGCCACAGCTAGCTGAGCAGCAAAAACAGCAGATGCGGCTTGTCTGTGGGCACCTCCGCAAGAGCCCTTTGTGTTTGCTGCTGCCCAGCTGTAGCGAGTAGTTGAGGGCGAGGGACGAGAGCGAGGGTTTAGGGTTTAGGGTTTAGGCTGGGGTCTAGGGTTTAGGGTTTAGGGTTTAGGGTTTGCGCGAAGCCTCCAAGAGGGAACCGCCACTGTGCACGCCCAAGCTGTTGGCTCGTAGGCTGTGCCCTTATAAGCTGTTGCTGCTTAAGTTAAAAGGCTTGGGGTTTAGGGTTTAGGGTTTAGGGTTTAGGGTTTGGGGTGTACGGTTTAGGGTTTCGGGTTTAGGGTTTAGGGTTTGGGGTTTGGGGTGTACGAACAGCTGGATCGGGTGGCGGCAGACCTGCGGCGGCTGAGGTGACCACTGGGTGTAGGGGTTCCGAGTGTCTAATTTGTCTTTAAATTTGCAATTTAATTAATTAAAATTAATTAATTTGCAAATTAAAAGACAAAATTAATTAGTTAATTCCAAAAAGACCGGAAGAGGGGGCCTCGGGGCCCCCTATTCCAACGATTCGCCTGAGGAGGATCTGCTGCCAGCAGCAGCAGCAGCAGCTCTCTGGAGGCTCAGGAGGAAGCTAAGTCCAATTCAATTCAACTTCTGCATCAATTTTAGGGTTTGTGTCAGCTGTTGCTGCTGAGAAACCCTATAGAAGGCCGGGTTCTGCTGCTGCTGCTGCTGCTGCTCTTGCTGCAGCTGCTGCTGCTGCAGGTGACCTGCGCCTCCTGCACTGTTGGGGTGTACGTACACCCCAACTAGCTCCACGCAGCCTCTTTCGTTTATTACTGGCGCTGTTCCACTTGCCTGCTGCGCTGCTAGCTGTTCAGAACCTGCTGCTAGCAGCAGCAGCAGCAGCAGCAGCAGCGACAGCAGCAGCAGCAAGAACATCACGAAGGTGTGCAGCAAATGGACAGTCCGAAACATCGACTGCTCCCCAGGAGCAGCGGCCTTGCTGCTGCTCCTGCTGCTCCTGCTGCTCCTGCTGCTCCTGCTGCTCCTGCCTGTGCACCCGCTGCTGCTGCTACTGCAGCAGCAGCAACTACTGATGCTGCTGCTGCTGCTGCTGAAAACGCAGCTGGCTATCTTCAAGAGGAGGCAAGGACCTCTTCTTTTGACTCGTGTGTATCTGCTCCACGATCCTCTTCTGCGAGCAGCAGCAACAGCAGCAGCAACAGCAGCAGCAACAGCAGCAGCAGTCCGCACAGCAGCAGCAGCAGCAGTGGCATCAGCAGCAGCGACAGCAGCAGCAGCCACAGCAGCAGCAACAGCAGCAGCAGCAGCAGCGCCGTGTCTCCCTCAGCCGCACCCGCGCAGGTTCCTCCCATCGCTGTCTCCGAGAGCAACAGCAACAGCAACAGCAGCAGCAGCAGCAGCAGCAGCAGCAGCAAAACGAGCAGCAGCAAACGGCCTTGCGCTGTGTTGAAGAGCAGCAAAGGAGGGGCCTGTCCTGCTGCTGCTGCTGCTGGCGACTTCTGCAAACCTGCCCCCCAAGCCCCGCCCTACTTGTGCTTTTGTTTGGCTGACGACGCAGAAGCAACAGCCGCACTCCAACTGCAGCAGCAGCAGCAGCAGCAGCAGCAGCAGCAGCAGCAGCAGCTGTGCCTCGTCCCCTCCCCCCCCGCCACCGCGTTATCCGACGGCTCGCCAGTGGCAGGCGAAGCAGCAGCAGCAGGCTGCTGCGGCGTGGGGCGGCTGGTGGGGCTGACAATGGCCCTCTTTGTGGCTCTTCAAATTATTTTTAATATTGATAATGGAATTGTTCCTGCTGTGCTGCCGCAGCTGTGGGAAGAATTCCGAATCCCAGACTCCCAGCAAGGTCAGCAGCAGCAGCAGCAGCAGCAGCAGCAGCAGCAGCAGCAGCAGCAGCAGCAGCAGCAGCAGCAGCAGCAGCAGCAGCGGCGGCGGCGGCGGCGGCGGCGGTGGTTTGCTGCTGCCGCAGCTGCTGCTGCTGTCTGCGCTGGCGGTGCTGCAGTGCATGCTTTTGCTGTTTGTCTTTTTTCTTTTTCTTTTTTCTTTTTTCTTTTTCTTTTTTATTCTTTTTCTGTTCTTTTTATTTATTTTTATTTATTTTTATTTATTTTTATTTATTTTCATTTATTTTTATTTATTTTATTTTTCCATTTTTATTTCCTTTCAAGTCCTCTTGACACTTCTTCATCTTTCACTTTTTATTTTTTATTTTTCATTTTTTATTTTTGATTTTTATTTCTTTCTTATTTCTTTTTATTTCTTTCTTTTTCATTCCTGCTAATCCATTTGCTTCGAATGTTTGAGGAAAAAGCGAATATAGTGCCCATTCTGCTGCTTGCTGCTGCTAGCTGCTGCTGCAGCAGCTGCTGCTGCTGCAGCTAGCTGCTGCTGCAGCTAGCTGCTGCTGCAGCAGCAGCAGCAGCAGCTAGCTGCAGGAGTCAGATTGCGTTTTCTTTGCGTAATGAGTCTGCAATGAAGAAGCATTAATTGTGTTTTCAAATTGTGGCATTTTTTTCTTTTTTTAAAATAAATAAATAAATAATTTTGCTGCTGCAGCAAAGTTTTTAATTTGCACTTCTTGAGATTTCCGAAAATGCATTTTGGCGGTGGTTTCGGGTGTATGTACAGCTGCTGCTGCTCGCGGGTTCATTTTGCTGCTGCGCATTTTCACTTTTAATTTCTTGGCAGCAGCTGCGGGCCGGGGAACCCTTTTTAAGGGTTTTAAGAGGGCTTTGAGGGTTTGTAAACCCTAAAAAAGGGTTTTGAAACCCTTCACAGTCCTCGTTAGCGTTTTAGGGAAAAGCAGCAACGGGAGCAGCTGCAGCAAACAAGGCCCCAAAACTCATGCTGCCGCTGCTGCCTTGCTGCTGCTGCTGCTGCTGCTGCTGCTGCTGCTGCCTTGCTGCTGCTGCTGCTGCTGCTGCTGCCTTGCTGCTGCTGCTGCTGCTGCCTTGCTGCTGCTGCTGCTGCTGCTGCTGCTGCGTGCAGGGCTGTTGGGCGCGTTGCCGTACGTGGGCACGGCGTGCGTGTCTCCGTTGAACTCGCGTTTGCTGCTGCTGCTGCGGCCGAAGCTGCTGCTGCTGCTGTCGCTTTGCTGCAACGCAGCAGCTTGCTGCCTCTTCGTGGGGGCCCCCGGGGGCCCCTCTCTTCTTGCTGCTCGCTTCCTCGTGGGGGCCACTCAAACCCCTTTCTTCATTTTGGCTCCAGTTTGGATCGACGCCTTCGCGCCGCAGCAGCAAATGACCCTCTGGATGGGGCTGCTGCAGGGCTCCGTCGTCCTCGGCATCATGGTCTGCTGCTGCTGCTGCTGCTGCTGCTGCTCCTGCTGCTGCTGCTGCTGCTGCTGCTGCTGCTGCTGGTGATGATGATGCTGCTGCTGCTGATGATGATGGTGATGGGGATGGTGGTGATGATTAAGATTCTGATCATCATGATTGTGATGGTGATGTGATGCTGCTGACTATGGTGATACTGCTGCTGCTGCTGCTGCTGCTGCTGCTGCTGCTGCTGCTGCTGCTCGAAGAGATGAATAAGTATAGGTGTCAGCCGCAGCAAAAATGGGAAAGTAAAAACTCGTTTAATGCATGAGCAGCAAAACAAGGAGATGCAGATAAAGGGGAGAAGCCAGGGAGCACCAGAGGAGACAAAGGAAGCTTTTTGCTGCTGCTGCTGCTGCTGCTGCTGCTGCTGCTGCTGCTGCTGCTGCTTGTGTTTTGCAGCTGGGATATCTTGCTGCAGGTTTCCTCCGCAGCCAGGGCAAGGACTGGCGAATCGCAGTGTACATACAGCTGGGGCTGCTGCTGCTGCTGCTGCTGCTGCTCTCTTTCCTCACGCCTTCCGTGCTGGACACAAGCAGCCGCCGCCACAAGCAGCAGCAGCAGCAGCAGCAGCAGCTGACGGGGGAGGAAGCAGCAGCAGCCGAAGGCGGCAACCGGGACCTGCATTTTGAAGCCGACCAGGAGCAGCACGAGCAGCAGCAGCAGCAGCAGCAGCAGCAGCAGCAGCAAGAGGCTGGGGGTCCCACTTCAGAAATCTCCACGCCGCAGTTTGGTCCAGGGGGAGAGTCGCTTGCTGCTGCAGCGTGTGCCTCTTCTGCTGCTGCTGCTGCTGGCAGCGCTGCAGCAACCGCAGCAGCTGCTGCAGCGTCTGCTGCTCAGAGCAGCGCTGCTGCTGCTGCTGCTGCTGCTGCTGGGTGTCCTTCCACGGTCTGCGCCTCCCCGTCCCCGCCTCCGTGCAGCGGCTTCGGCGCTGCTGCTGCTGCTGCTGCTGCTGCTGCTGCTGCTGCTGCGCCCCACACAGGGCCGCTGAGCGGCAGCAGCACGCCCTCAGGTGTACGTACACAGTGCCTGCTCTGCAGCAACTTGGTCTATCCGCTGCTGCCAGCAATTGCTGCAATGGCAATAACAGCAAATGCAGAAAATAAGTTTTATGGAGGGGCAAGAGAGTCAAGAGAAGCAGCGCCGCGGCGGGCTACGCACAGCAGCAGCAGCAGCAGCAACACCCGCAGCAGCAGCAACAGCAACAGCAGCAGCAGCAGGTGCGCCCACTCCAAGCGGCTCTACAGATACTTCAGCGCCCCCGCAAAAACCCCAGAAGCAGCAGCAGCAGCAGCAGCAGCAGCAGCAGCAGAAGGGATGCAGCCAGATAAGGGCTCCCTTAGGATTTGCTTTACTTGTGACCAGCTGCCGCTGCAGCGGGACCTGCAGTGCAGCAGCAAAACGCCACTGGGGAGCCTGCTGCAGCAGCAGCAGCAGCAGCAGCAGCAGGGGCCTCTGCTGTGCCCACAGGAGGAAGCAGAAAGGCGCATAAACGCGGGAATGGCAGCAGCAGCTGCGGCGGCAGTCGCCGACGTAGCTGCTGCTGCTGCGATGACTGCAGCAGCAGCAGCAGCAACTGCAGCAGCAGCAGCGGCGGCCACTGCTGCTGCGGATGCTGCAGCAGAACAAGCAGCCGCAGATGAAGGCTCAGGCAGCACCAGCCGCCAGTCGTGGTCAGTGCCTCTGTCCTTCCCGCTGCAGCAGCAGCAGCAGCAGCAGCAGCAGCAGCAGCAGCAGCAAAAGCGGAAGCAGCTCGAGCTTGCCAGTGACCCTGAAAGGGTGTTATCGCTTGACGGCGCAGCGGGAGGGTCCACTGCGCTGCCTGCCGCTGCAGCAGCAGCAGCAACAGCAACAGCAGCAGATCGAGCAGCAGCAGACCCAGCAGCAGCAGCAGCAGCAGCAGCAGAATCGCCGGGAGACGATCTGCTGTCCGTGGAGACGATCCCCGGCGAAGGCATTTCTGTCTCCTCCCCGCAGCAGAGCCAGTTGAGGGGCCCCACAGCTTCCAGGCCAGGCAGCGCAGCAGCAGCAGCAGCAGCAGCAGACACAGCAGCAGCAGCAACAGCAGGTGCAGCAGCAGCAGCAGAAGCAGCAACGGCGGAAGAAACGACCTCTTCCAAACTGAGGTTTTCGCTGCCTGCCTTGCCGGAGGGCCAAGCGGAGCAGCTGCAGCAGCTGCAGCACACGCAGTACACGCAGCAGCAGCAGCAGCACATGCAGCAGCAGCAGCAGCACATGCAGCACAAGCAGCGACTGTGCATGCCCCACAGACTGCAGCAGCAGCAGCAGCAGCAACTCGAGCAAAGCATTGCTATCTTTGCTGCTCCCAGCAGCAGCGGGCCCTTGAGCTCCCGCATAGTAACCTCCCTTGAGCTCCACAGCGCCGACAACAGCAGCAGCAGCAGCAGCAGCAGCAGCGACAGCAGCAGCAGCAGCAGCACTCAAGGAGGCATCAAGCACTGGTTTATCCATCAGGCCAAAACTCTCGTCGCCAAAGGCGCAGTTGGGATTGAGCTGCTCAGGTATCCTGCTGCTGCTGCTGCTGCTGCTGCTGCTGCTGCTGCTGCAACCGCGGTGGTAGTAGCGGCTGCTGTTCCTGCTGCTGCTGCAGCTGCTGCTGCTGCTGCTACTGCTGCTCTTGTCCCAGTTTGCTGCTGTGCTTTGTGGGTCCTGCCGCCACTTCTACTGTGAGCCCCTAGAATATTTTGGTGGCTGTTCATACTGATGTAAGTCCGCATCTGCTGCTGCTGCTGCTGCTGCTGCTGTGTCTGCTGCTGCTGCTGCTGTGTCTGCTGCTGCTGCTGCAGGAATCCAATATATGGGTTAGTGGTTGCTGCTCTTTGTTCCCTCTTTCTTGAGGTGACGGCGATTCAGTTTTGGTCCACCAAATACTTTGAACAGGTCTTGAAGGTCCGTTGCTGTCTCGCTGCTGCTGCTGCTCTTGCTGCTGCTGCTGCTGCTGCTGCTGCTGCTGCTCTTGCTGCTGCTGCTGCTGCTGCAACTGCGGATGATGATGATGGTGATGAATGTCCCTTTGTTGCAGCCCTATGTACGTAGGTCTCTTGCCTGTGGGGCATTATTCCCCTGTTTCTGCTGAAGCAATCGCTGCTGCTGCTACTGCTGCTGCTGCTGCTGCTGCTGCTGCTGCTGCTGCTGCAGCCACTCCCTGTGTCTGTTTCGCACATTGCTGCTGCTGCTGCTGACAGCAGCCTCCCCGCACCCCTTTCCCCCTGCCTGTTGCCTGCTGCTGCTGCTGCCGCCGCTGCTGCTGCTGCTGCTGCTGCTGCTGCTGCTGCTGCTGCTGGTGCTGCTGCTGGTGCTGCTGCTGCAGGTGCCGACGGCGACGGTGCTGCTGAGTTTCTCGCTGAGCGCAGTGACTGCGCCGCTGCTGGGGATTCTGCTGGGGGGGCTGCTGGTGGACTTGTGGGGCGGCTACGGGGAGCAGCAGCAGCAGCAGCAGCAGCAGCAGCAGCTGGTGTGTCTGTGTCTGCTGTCGGCCTTGGCAGCTGGCTGCGTGCTGTGCGGCTCCGTTGCTGCTGCAGCAAAGTCCTTTGCTGCTGCACTAGCAGCAGTTTGGGCTGTGCTCTTCCTCGGGGGAGGCATTCTCCCCCCTGCAACGGGACTTGTTCTTGCTGCAGCACCAGCAGCAAAACGAACTGATGCTTCTGCTGCTGCTCTTTTCCTCTACACTCTCTTCGGCTACGTCCTCGGCTCTTTCCTCCCCGGAGTCCTCAACGACCTCCTCGGACTCGCCGCAGGAATGAAGGTTCCCCCGCTGCTGCTGCTGCTGCTGCTGCTGCTGCTGCTGCTGCTGCTGCTGCTGCTGCTGCTTGTGGCACAGGTGTCTTTGCTGTGGTCTGTCTTTGGACTTCTGGCATTTGTTGCTGCTACAATTGTTTCGTGGAAGCAGCAAAAGAAGCAGCCAGCAGCAGCAGAAGCAGCAGCAGCAGCAGCAGCAGCATGGCCATCCGAGGTGCCCCGCAGGGGCCCCCTAGGGAAGCTCTTAAGAAAACTCAGAAGGGGGCCCCCCAAAGGGGCCCAGCAGCAAAACCTTGGGGGGCCCCCCGAAGGGCCCCTTGAGGGGCCCCCTAGGGGCCCTCTACAGGAAACTGCAGGGGGCCCCTTGCTCCCAAGAGGGGCCCCTTAGGGGCCCCTTAGGGGCCCCTTGGGGGCCCCTTGGAGGCCCCTTGGGGGCTCCTTGGGGGCCCCTTGGAGGCCCCTTGGGGGCCCCCTAGAAGCGCTTTTGGGGGGTTTCTCAAAGGGGTTTCTGAGGGGCCTGTTAGAGGAAATTGTTAAAGGAGGGTTCCAAGAGGGGCCCCCCTAGAGGGGCCCCCTAAGAGGGGCCCCTAGAGGGGTTCATTTAGAGGACCCATTTGAAGTTGGGCCCTACGGGAATCCTCAGAGGGGCCCCCAAGGGGCCCCCTGGTGTCCCCTAAGGGGGCCCTAGAAGGACCCTTTAGAGGGGCCCCCTTAGAGAAACTTCTTAGTCTTAAAGGGGCCCCTTAGAGGGCCCCTACAGGGGCCCCTACAGGGGCCCCTTGTCCGAGGGGCCCCTCTAGGGGCCCCTCTAAGGGGCCCCCACAGGGGCCCCTGCAGGGGCCCCTTGAAAAGCCGCACGGGTCCCAATAATAAGGACCCCAAGGGGGGCCCCCATAGGGGGCCCCATAGGGGCCCCCATAGGGGCCCCCATAGGGGGCCCCATAGGGGGCCCCATAGGGGGCCCCATCGGGGCAGGGGCCCCCATAGGGGGCCCCATAGGGGGCCCCATGGGGGGCCCCATAGGGGGCCCCATAGGAGGGGCCTTGGGAGGGAATAGGGGGAAGGGTTTAGGAGTTTGTGTAGAGTTGCAGCTCAAGCAGCAGCAGCAAGAGAGGCCATTTTAGCTGTCAGTTGCTGCTGCTCTCTTACCGATTTGTTCAGCTGCTGCTGCTGCGCGCCGCGCTGCAGCTGCTGCTGCTGCGCGCCGCGCTGCAGCTGCTGCTGCTGCTGCTGTGGGGCCTTCTTTTGCTGCAGTGCAGAAGGGCCAAATGCACATACAAACACTTCCCTATATAAATACCCCCGCAAGCCTGCAGCCTCCAAGTGCGGCTTAAGATACATTTTATATATTATTTACTATTTACTATTAATCAATTAATTAATTAATTTATTTATTTATTTATTATTTACCATTTATTATTAATTAATTAATTAACTGATTAATTGATTAATTAATTAGTTATTTACTTATTTGTTTATGCACCCCGCCAGGCAGTTTAGGTTTTCGGCTCTGCAGGCAATAATATTCTCAGTAAATGTGCAATTTGAGTTTTAAAATTCAAATATTTATATTTTATTTCAAAATATTTGAATTTAAAATGTTTTAAAATGAATAATTTGCGTTTCTGCTTCTTCAGCGCATGCAGTGCATGCGCCCGCGAGCTGTACATACACCTCAGCAGTCCCGCAGCGGTCGAGCGGACTTCCCCGATTTCTTATTTATTTTTATTTTCATTTTAATTTGTTTTTTAATTAATTTTAAATGTTTTTATTCTTTTATTTTTTAAATTATTTGCTGAGAGCTGCTGCGCGGAGCCCGAAGAAGCAGCAAAACACAATTTCCATCTTTTCGTTTATTTGCGCAATTCTTCTTTTCTAATAATTGCATATTTACAAATTTAAAATACTTTTTCTTTTAATTTTATTCATTTATTTATTTGTTTTAATTAATTCATTTATTTATTTGTTTTAATTAATTTATTTATTTATTTGTTTTAATTTATTTAGTTGGCCAAATTCAGGTGTATTTGCCCCATCTGCGCAGCTCTTTTTCGGGTGTCTGTACAGCTGGCCACGCAGCAGTCAAAGCGCTCGAAATCTTTATTTGAAATTTTAATTTAAACTTTGTTCAAAATGGCATTATTTTAGTTGAAACTATTCAAAATGGCATTATTTTAACTAAAACTTTATTGAAAATGGCATTATTTTAATTAAAACTGTTCAAAATGGCATTATTTAAATTAACACTTTATTGAAAATGGCATTATGTTAATTAAAACTATTCAAAATGGCATTATTTTAATTAAAACTTTATTTCATAATGGCATTATTTTAACTGAAACTTTATTTTAAATGGCATTAATTTTAAATAAAGACTTGATTTAAAATGGCATTAAAAGAGACATGGCATGCATAAGATCCTGGAGTTTTCTTAATTCATTTTAAATTAAAAATTCATTTTAAAATAAAAATAAAAATAAAAATAAAACTTCATTTTAAATTAAAAATAAAATTAAATTCAAAACTTCGCAGACTTGAAGCACCTCCAGCTGTACAGACAGCTGGAGGTGCCTTCAGCTGTCTGTACAGCTCGCGGGAGGCCCTTGAAGCCGCATTTGCTGCAGTCCTTAAAATTTAATTTCGAAGTCCTTTCCACTTTTTGCATGCGCTTTCTTCCATTTAATTCTTTTTCTTCCACTTTCCACTAAATCTAGACAGCCCCGCGCATGCAGCAAAAGGCGCGGGCTCTACAAAGCTCCATTTCGCAAACTCAGCAGCACACCGCAGCAGCTAGCAGCAGCAGCAGCAGCAGCAGCAGCAGCAACAGCGGCAGCCTCAGCAACAGCAACAGCAGCAGCAACAGCAGCCACAGCAGCAGTAGCAACAGCAGCCACAGCAGCAGTAGCAACAGCAGCCGCAGCAGCAGCAGCAGCAGCAACAGCAACAGCAGCAGCTGCCGCAGCAGCAGCAGCAACAGCAGCCTCAGCAGCAGCAGCAGCAGCAGCAGCAGCAGCAGCAGCAGCAGCAGCAGTAGCAGCAGCAGAAGAGGGTTAAAGAAACTAAGGGCCCGTGTAAAGTTCTCTGCTGCAGTTTGCCATTTTAATTTAAAAGTATTTTGGAAGCTGCAGCGCGAGCGCTGAGGTGTACGTACAGCTGAGACAGCTGCGGTGTACGTACACCCCAGAGCCGGCAGGCTGGAGGGGCAGCTGAGAGGCCTCAAAGTGCTCACATTTTACGAAAAGTATTTATTTTATTTGTTTAAATGCAAATAATTTATAAATAAATTTATAAATGAATTAAAAAAGAACAAAAAGGCTGCAGTTGTGGCGGCTGTTGCTGCAGCTGTCCAGTGGCCTACGCCGCAGCAGACCGCTCGTTCGGCTGCGGCCCTCGGCAGCAGCTAAATTGCTGCTTTTTGAGCTCTTTTTGCTTTTTAAAATAAATTATTTTATTAATTATATTTAAAAAAGAAATTAAATTCAAAAAAGAAGCAAAAGGAACCCCCGGAGGCAGCAGGGGCCCCCGCGCATCGGCGCTGGCGAGCCCGTGTGTCTGCAGCAAAGCAAAGAGGCCCCCAGCAGCAGCAGCAGCAGCAGCAGCAGCAGCAGCAGCAGCAGCAGCTGTCTTCGTTTGGTTTCAATTGAAGTTTGTTTGAATTTATTATTGTTTTATGTTTAATAAGTCAATTACAAAGCGAGAATCGACGGGCCCCGCCTGCAGCAGCAGCACGCCGGGCAGCAGCAGCAGCCGATGCGCAGCAGCAGCCGACGCAGCAGCAGCAGCAGCAGCACACATTGAAATCAGCCTCTGCCGGATCTCTAAGAAAGCCTCTTAATCTCGGAAAACCCAGCTTAACTCATTTGCCTGCTGCTGCTGCTGCTGCTGCTGCTGCTGCAGCTGCTGCTGCTGCTGGCAGCGCTGCGCCTGCGGAGGCGCTCGGCGGGAGGCCCCAAGCTGAGGCCTTCTCGATGCCCCAAAGCAGCAGCAGCAGACTTCTTCTCAGACGGAGACGGGGCAGCAGCTGCAGCAGCAGCGGCTGCAGCAGCAGCAGCAGCGGCTGCAGCAGCAGCAGCAGCAGCAGCAGCAGCAGCAGCAAACAGCTTCAATGTTTGGGCCTCAGGGAGAAGCACTGCTGGGCCAGAGGGCCCCGCGGTCTCTCCCCTGCCTTTTCTTGCGGCTGCTTTCTCTTCTTTGCTTTCTTTTGCTGCTTCTGCTGAGTTGCTTCCCAGCAGCAGCAGCAACAGCAGCAGCAGCAGCAGCAGCAGCAGCAGCAGCAGCTAAGCAGCGTGGCCATTCCCCCGCAGTTTCGCTTTCTCTGTGGCCTCCCTTCCCGCTCTCTCCCACCTCCCTCTCAGAGCGCAGCATCTTAGCAGCAGCAGATTCCGCAGCAGCAGCAGCAGATTCCGCAGCAGCAGCAGCAGATTCCGCAGCAGCAGCAGCAGATCCCGCAGCAGCAGCTGCAGATCCCGCAGCAGCAGCAGCAGCAGCAGCGGCAGATTTCGCAGCAGCAGCAGCAGATCCCACGGCCGCAGCAGCAGCAGGAGATCCCGCAGCAGCAGCAGCAGCAGATCCCGCAGCAGCAGCAGATCCCGCAGCAGCAGCAGATCCCGCAGCAGCAGCAGATCCCGCAGCAGCAGCAGCAGCAGATCCCGCAGCAGCAGCAGCAGCAGGAGGAGAGGGCGGAGCGTCTGGGGTCCTGGGGAGGCGGCTGCCGGAGTTGCCGTGCGTGTCCGCGCCTTCGTTTTTGTCTGCTGCATCCCGTTCGGGCGCAGCAGCAGCAGCAGCAGCAGCAGCAGCAGCAGCAGCAGCAGACCCCGCAGCAGCACGAGTGTCGTACCGCGGGGGCCCGCTGCTGCCCCGCAGCTGCAGCCACGCGGGCTGCAGGCTGGGAGCTGCTGCTGCTTTCTTCAGCCCCGAAAAGAAGTCTTGCTTCTCCATAACTTCCTGCTGCAGCTGCCAGCAGCACGGGGGGGGCCTCCCGCGGATCTGTTTGCTGCTGCAGCGGCCCAAGGCTTTCTTGACTTTGCTGCAGAACCTTTTTATTCCGGGGGCCCCCCCAGCAGCATTTGCTTTTCGAAAAGCTTCCAAGGAGGAGATAGCTCGCACGATCCCGCAGCAGCAGCAGCTGGGGGCCCACCGCCCTGCTGCTGCTGCTGCTGCTGCTGCTGCTGCTGCTGCGGGGCAGCAGCCCGCTGCTGCTGCTGCTGAGGCCGAGGAGGAGGAGTTCCCCCCAGACGCGGACGAAGACTTCCAGGAAGAGTCCCGCGGGGGCTTCCTCCAACTCCCAAACACCAGCAGCAGCAGCAGCAGCAGCAGCAGCAGCAGCAGCAGCAGCAGCAGCAGCAGCGGGAGAGGGGCCCGG